AGCTGTGTGATTTCCAATTTTTTCTGTGTTAGTGTCCTCTGCACTTGTTATGGGTGGGCTTGGGTTCTGAGGTTGTATTTTGTTCCTTCTCGTCATTTTGTGGAGCACTGTCCTCTGCCCTTTGTTGTAGATCTTTTCTGTAGTTATAACCTTCACACGTACTGAAGTTCAGGTGGAGTTCCACAGAGTTTGGAGTTATCCAGCTGCGTCTGGCTTAGGTCTGGCTGCTGTGCTCAGCTCCTTCTCGCTGCGGACCAGGACTAGGAGTGGGTCTGGGGGTTCCCGGAAGTCGGCAGAAATTCCTACTTGGCGGGAGGGGTGGGGAGATATGGCGGAGCGGTAGGGGGCGGCCCGAGGGGGAGGGAGAGGGTCCGGCCCACGCTGCGCCTTGGCTGGGACTGGTCCCGCCGGTGCAGGTTAGCAGGAAGCTCTCCACACACTCACCGGACCTGGGCTAGGACTGAGTCTTACTTTACTCTTAGTTATAGTTATTAATCTCTTGCTGTGGCTACCTTATAAATTAATGTCAGTGTTAGTAATGTCAGTGTAGGAAAAATATGTAAAATAGGATCGTGTTTATAGCTTTGGGTGTCAACCAGAATGTATTCCTTATGGATAAGGGGGGATGATTGTATTGGGGTAAAAATATTTTTCAAATTGTTAAGTAGTTTAATGTCGTTATCTGATAGTTGGAGAGGAACACTGATTCAGGATAAAGCATGATAAACATTACTCCAAAAATTCACTGACTATTGAAAACATTCAAATAGCACTACTGATGTTTTCTTATCTTCTTGTTTTTTTCTAATTTCAATCCTGATTTGTGGTTGATAAGACCTTATTTTTATTTTGATCTGTTAGAATCTACTCATGGACATACTCCCTTGGATAAAAAACCTGAGCCAAGCATATCTGAGGTAAAACTTTTTAAATGCTAATTGTTTCTTCTAACACTGATAACATAGTAAGTAGAAAGAGAAAGAGAAAATAGAAATGATTTGAATTTTTGCTCTTTAAGAACCGGAGATTGAACCCAGGGCCTCATATGTGCTAGAGAGGCACTGTACCACTGAACTGTATCCCTCACGTTTTACAATCAGTTTTTAAGAAACAAGGTCTTGCTAAGTTGCCTCCACTGACTTCCAATTTACAGTTTTCCTACCTCCGTTCTTGAGTAGCTGAGTTAAAGGGAAGTGCCACCATGCTGCTTGATTGTAACATTTTAAACTTTAGCGGTGAAGTAGAAAAACGTTTAGAAGATGATGGAGCTTGAGAGGAAGTTGTTCCCAAATTACGATCTTCTGTTTAAGGTACTTCACATACCTTAACTGACAAAGTTGCTTTTACTTCCTTTCACATTACTAGTAGTAGATTGATGTTTATAAAGGAGAATAACTGCCCAGTGTTTTGATATGATAAAGACATGACAGGTGCAAAGTTAACCTACTTGTTGAAGACCAGGTATAACTGGATAACATTTTCTGCTGGGAGAGGGCTCTGTCAGATATAGGTGGGGTGAATTATGACAGCAACTACAATTATCCTACAGTACAGATCTTTAGAATACAGAATTGCCTCTTTGTGTTTCTTTTTTCTTTGGCTTCCAAAGAGCATTAATGATGATAAATGTGCAAGTGTTTCATCACCGTCAAAGTCAAACAAATTGGAATGCCCGTCTCCTGAAGATCAGGTAAGTTGTGATGTTTGGCATCGAGTGTCTCAGTCTTCTGAGCTTCCCATTCTATTCCATTTATATGCGGAATGGGAATTTTATTCTAAGAGCATAATTTGAGTGCAGATATGATACTTCCATCATTGATTATGTTTTGGCTTTCAACACATAGTTGCGCTATGTACTCCAGGCTGACCTCAAACTCAAAATCCCCTTGCCTCAAGTCTTCTGAGTTCTGGGATTACAGGTCTATACCACCACACCTGGCTTTCTGTAATTTATTTTGATGTTGGCTCCTCTGAATTGTTACCAGTGTTTGTAGAATGTTTTCTGACCTTTTTCTAGCCATTCTTTTGAATTCTTTTTAAGTTTATTTTTGTTGCATTTTTCTTGAAACCTTAATTACCATTGTATAAGTTGGTTTGAATATTGGATTTTTAAAAGAAAACTATGAATTATGCTTTAAGACATTTTAGAGTAGTTACCTGTGTCATTAACAGTTTATACATTTACAAGTAATAATTGTACCAATCTTTGTGCGTCAGCCCAAGTGCTGAAATTATTGGCATCTATCACTGTGGCTGGCTGTATTTGCCTATTATTTTTAGCTACTGTGTTTTTTTTTTTTCATTCTAAGACTAGAAGGTCTATTTATATTTTAGTGCTATAAAAGGTAGACAACTTAAGGTACATATAGTGATTAAAATTAATGTCTCAATAAAATGTCTTTTTGTCTATTTTATCCCCCATTTCTGAAGAACCCAGCAGGTGTGTCTTTGTCGAATCCAGCTCCCCTGATAGTTCCTCCAGAGGTACATCTAACTCCTGCGGTGCCTTCTTTACCAGCCACTGTGCCAGCTTGGCCGAGTGAACCTACAACTTTTGGACCAACAGGTTAGAGAGTTTAGAAATTCCTACCTATCCATCCACTGACCACTCAGCTGACCAAGCAGCAAGTGCTTTTCAAGTCAGAGTTCAAATTAATTAATTAATTAAATTCATTCATTCTGTCTGTGTCTGTCTCTCTCCCTCTCCCTCTCCCCCCTCCCCCCTCCATCTCTCCCTCTCCCCCTCCGTCTCTCTCTTTCCCTCTCTCCCTCTCTCCCTCTCCTCCCTCTCCCTCTCTCCCTTTCTTTCCCCTCTCCCTCTCTCCCTCTTTCCCTCTCTCCCTCCTTTCCCTCTCCCTCGTTCCCTCTCTCCTTTTTTCTTTTATTTTGGTACTAGAGATAAAAATCAGGACTTTGCTGCCAGGCAGGTGCTTGTGCTGCTGAGCTATCTCCCTGGCCCTCAGATACTGTTTTTGTTTCTATTTTTTTGAGATAGGGTTTTGCTGTGTAGTTCAGGCTGGCTTTGAACTCATTCTGTAGCCCAGGCTGGCCTTGAACTCATGTTGAACCTCCTGCCTCAGCCTTCTGAGTTCTTGGGTCTACAGGTGTGTAACACCACACCTGCCTGGACTGATTCTTGAGTAAGAACTTGTCTGTGAAACAGGGTTGTGTTTAGCTTCATTGCTCTGATTCTCTGCTTGCCTCTGCATCTGGAGTGAGGTGCCATATTTATTGGGTGGTGTTCATTGAGGTGTGCTCTCATAATCGTAGGCACACAGTGTTTGAGCTGGCTGTCTGCTGTTTGCTGTGGATGCTTCCGCTATGGGCTAGCATCGATGGCTCCCAGTTGGACATGTGTGTAGGCTTTGTGTCTTACATGTCTGTGAGAGTTGCAATTAGAAATTGATTCCAAATGTGCATTCTGGGCTTATTTTGTTTCTGTATGTGAAATCATGAAATGTTTAATTACATACCATTTTACCAGCTGTGTCAGTGTGCAGCGTTATAATGTAAACTTACATTTCTGGAGGAATATTTATTTTTTGGTAGTTTAATTTTTTGGTAGTTTGATTCCATTTACCTCTCTTTCGTAGGTGTCCCTGCTCAAATTCCTGTTTTGTCAGTGACACAGACTCTGACCACTGGACCTGATTCTTCTGTGTCCCAAGCTCATCTAACATCCTCTCCAGTTCCTGTGTCAATACAGGCAGTTAACCAGCCCTTGATGCCTTTGCCTCAGACATTGAGCCTTTACCAGGACCCACTCTACCCTGGGTTTCCTTATAATGAGAAGGGAGACCGAGCCATTGCACCATCTTATTCACTGTGTCAGACTGGGGAGGACCTGCCTAAAGGTGAGGCCTTTCAAGTTGATTTCTTTTATCAAGACACAAACAGATTTCACACATACATGATGGGCTTATATATATGTGTATGACTTTCCCATCAGGTGGCTTGTACCAGCCATTGGGATTGTTCTGTGTCACTGGATGGGACACTCATACATGTACTTACTGCTGGTGGGAGGGTGTTAAGAAATGATATCAAGTTGTAGTTAGAGGTTTGTTTTCTTAAACTTTGGGAAATACACTGGAGGTTTGACTGCTGGTCATTCACTTCTTTCTCAGCTTGGTTTTACTTCTATTTTTTTTTTTTTTTTTTTGAGACAGTCTTACTGTGTAGTTCAGGATGTCCTTGAACTCATTTTGTAACCCAGGTTGGCCTTGAACTTAGAGCAGTCCTCCTGAATCAGGCTCCTGATTGCTGAGATTACAGGTGTATGCCCCCACGCCTGGCTTCATCTTGATTTTATTAAGCAGAACTCTTTTTGGGTTTAGTAATTGATCCCATGTAATTTTTTAATAAGCAGTCTTGAAGCCATTTAGAAGTAAGATATCTATAATTTCATTAACCATGGAAGCCTGCCTCTTAGCTCAGTTCTTTGAAGTGGCTACTTCAACAAAGTCAGGCTCAATTTGCTATGGTTCGATCCCCACAACTCAAGCCAGCCAAACCTGCCCTGAAGGCATTCAGAGCAAAAAAAAAAAAAAAAAATCTGTCATTAACCAGTTATCTGAACATTATAAAGTTTTCTTAACAGCTGGTTTGGGGGAACTACTCGTGTTACTTTCTCCACTAAAAAATTATGAAGGAGGGGGCCACAGAGATAGCTCAGTGGACTAAGCACCTGCCTAGGCAAGCACAACAACCTGGGTTTGATCCCTGCTACCATGCACCCAGCCATCCACCAAGAATGGGTGTCGTGGCACATGCCTGTAATCCCAGTGCTGGGGAGGCTGAGACAGGAGGATCACTAGGTGTCAGAGCTGTGTAGTGAGACCTTGTATCAAATACATTTAAAAAAAAAAGAAAAATTATTAAAGAGTCGGGGTATAGCTCAGAGTTAGAGCATTTGCCTGGCGCACACAGTGCTCTAGGTTCAAATCTTGTCACAGTATTAGGAAAAAACAGCAGACTGAATATATCTGTAATAGCTATTACTAGAGTACTAAGCAATATTTAAATGGTTATTAGTTAAATAGTTTTTAAATTTACTGATCCTCTTCCAAGGAATTTGTACTCTTAACTGTCCATGTTTTAGTTTGCAGAATTTCTTGTTAGTCTCATTGAAAGAAATAATGCAACAGCTACCTTTATACTCTTTGCCTGGTTTCATATAATTTGTTTTAATCAGAGGTTTGATGTTTGATCCCATGGATAACTAGTTCATGGCAAATGGATAGCTAGACTGTAGTATCCTACAAATCATGTTACCAATAAGTGAGGTTTAAAGGGACATGTTAAGATTTTCACCAGTGTCTATCTCATAATTTTTGAAACTCCACAGAAAACTTGAAGTAACAAAATAAAGAGCATTTGAGTGTCTTTCAGCCAGATTCATCTTTAATGAGATAAAAATCTCAAACCATTTTAAAAAATAAAGTTATATATTTTTGTATTTTGTGCAGGGTCTCACTATGCAGCTTGACTTTATAGTGATCTTCCTGTTTTCAGCTTCCCCAGTGCTGAGATTACAGTCATGTGCTACCACACCCACAGGCAGGACTGGTGAGGCATGTGGTACCAGGGGTGAAACTATTTTAGGATTTAAACGTTAATATAGAAGGAAACATATCAAATCTAGAATTACCTTATATTAGCCTAGTTTTTGGCTGTATTACAGTTTTTATATCATGGCAAAAGTTTTAGCAGATAAAATTACCTTTAAAATTGTATTTATTGGGCGGGGAGGGAAATAGCAGTCCTAAGTGCCTGTGTAGCAAGCACAAGGACCTGGGTTTGATCCCTGGTACCATATGCTGTGCCAGTCCTAGAACCCCAGGTGTGCTGTGCCAGGCACAGAAATCGGGTGTAATGGTGCACTCCTGTAATCCCAGTGCTGGGGTCACTATGAGTCCAAGCTGTGCAGTGAGACTGTGTACCAAATAAATAAATAAAAGATTTATTAAAAATTAAAAGTACTGTGTTGATTAGAATAAGGCAAACCTTTTTTTGAATGTATAGTTTTATTGAGTAATTATTCTTTTTGCAGATAAGAACATTCTTCGATTCTTTTTCAATCTCGGTGTGAAGGTATTTACATTGTATTATATTAATTGTTAATTTAGTAATTATTAATTTACTGTTAAAAGTTATAATTTAAATCATGTTAACAATTCTAGCTATACTCTGAGGGTCACTAAATTTCACCATTTTAAAAACTGGCATTTTCATTACAGAGCAGTATGAGTTTGGGGTAGTAGGAGCTCCACTTCTTGCTTGCTTTTGCTCTTGGTAAAGGTTTAACATTGGAGGAACTATGTTCCTGGGCAGTCTTACAGAAATGCCCTCGGTGGGGAGTTGGTGGAACTATCTGGGCTTGACATTCTGCTTCAACATTTTTTAATTGTATCATCATGGGCAAACCATATAGTATCTATGAATTTGGCTTTATTTGTGGAATGGGATCAGGCAGTGTTCTTTCACCTGTTTCAGTTGTTGAAAAGAGCAAAGTAAATAGCAGTTGAAAGTATGTAGTACTGTGTAAGGTTAGAGGTTTATGTGATCTGCTGGGACGTGAGCAGCCAAAAAATAACTTCTTAGAGAAGCTGTCTCTGTCACTGGTAGACTGACTTTTGTCTTGATTTAATTTCTCTGCATTCTGAGATACTTAGGAAAGAGATGGAGTCCCTTCTGATCTACTGTCCAGTTTTAATAGACTCTGTGATGCATTAATTGCATAGTTTTTTTATTTATCTAGTGATTGTTGGCCTTATCTGATTGGTTAATTATCCTGTTGACTGGTTATATTTTCTTTGTATTTTGGGTTTTAGCTGAAACCTTGTGGAGGAAGGATTTGGAGTATTCCATTTTCATTATCCTTCTTTGATTAGAGTTGTAAATTTAAATCTTTCAGTTAAAAAAGGCTCTGAGGGGTCCTAGAATTGTTGACTCCTGTCATGGAAGATCATCTTTTCTACCACTGTTTTCTTGGTACAGTAGATCCTACAAAGTTAATTGGCTGAGAGGGAGTGAGTGAGTGGGTGAGTGGAAGAGCTAGAATGTGAAGGCAAGTCTAGGCAAACTGCTGGTGACTGAGATCATGTTTTCTGTGAGCCTCTGTATTAGGACTTCCAATAGGTTTTAGGGCAGGAACAAAGAATGTAATCTTAAACTAGCAATTTGATTTTCTAATTGCTTTTCATGTTGGGCATCACAGTGATCTAATTGAATAATATTTTCATTACAAATATGAGAAACTTGAGCTTAGTATTATTAAATATACACTAAAATTTTTATTATTTTTCTTTTTGTTTATTTTAACTGTTTTATATCTCTTTCAGGCATATAGTTGTCCCATGTGGGCTCCACATTCTTACTTGTACCCTTTGCACCAGGCCTACCTGGCAGCCTGCAGAATGTACCCAAAGGTCCCTGTCCCTGTATATCCTCATAACCCTTGGTTCCAAGAAGCTGCTTCTGCCCAGAATGAAAGTGACTGTACCTGTACTGATGCACACTTTCCTATGCAGACTGAGACCAATGTTAATGGTCAAATGCCACAGGGAGAAATTGGGCCGCCAACGTTTTCTTCACCTCTGGTAATCCCTCCATCTCAGGTGTCTGAAAGTCATGCACAGTTGTCTTACCAGGCTGATCTTGAATCTGAAAACCCTGGACAGCTTCTTCATGCTGAGTATGATGAGTCACTAAGTGGCAAGAACATGTATCCGCAGCCGTCCTTTGGACCTAATCCATTCCTAGGCCCAGTTCCCATCGCACCCCCCTTTTTCCCTCATGTTTGGTATGGGTATCCTTTTCAGGGATTTATAGAAAATCCTGTAATGAGGCAGAATATTGTTCTGCCCTCTGAAGAGAAAGGTGAATTGGATCTGCCCTTGGAAAATCTGGATCTGTCTAAAGAATGTGCTTCAGTCACAGCAGTAGATGAGTTTTCAGAATCTAGGTGTGAAGGTGCACATTCTGTCCCTGACCCAAGTGTGAGCAGTAAGACGGAAGGCCGGGCGGAGCAGTCCTCACAAACACGAAAGGCAGATCTTGCGCTTGCCTCTGCGTCTTCCGCCTCTGCCTCTCCTGGAGCAGAAGGAAAAGCTCCTCTTCCCACACAGATTCTAAACAGAGAAAGAGAAACTGTATCTGTTGAACTTGAGCCTAGGAGGACCATTCAAAGTGTGAAAGAAAAACCAGAGAAAGCAAAAGATCCTAAGACTGCTGCTGATGTGGTCAGCCCTGGGGCCAACTCTGTGGATAACAGAATGCAAAGACCAAAAGAAGAGAGTTCTGAAGATGAAAATGAAGTGTCTAATATTCTGAGAAGTGGCAGATCCAAGCAGTTCTATAATCAAACTTATGGAGGCAGGAAGTACAAAAGTGACTGGGGCTATTCCGGTAGGGGTGCGTATCAACATGTGCGAGGTGAGGAGTCCTGGAAAGGGCAGCCCAGCCGAAACCGAGAGGAAGGTTATCAGTACCATCGAAATGTCAGAGGACGGCCATATAGAGGGGATAGGAGGAGATCAGGAATGGGGGATGGCCACAGGGGACAGCATACTTGATGATGCTTAGTGCTTGGGTATTTTAAAGCAGAAGCCCTTTATTAAGGGATTATTTTTAAAGGCTTTAAAAAAATACCTTAAAACAAAAACTCAACCTGGATCTATCCTCCCCACTGCTTTAACCCTCATTCCCATTGTGGATGGGATTTTGGACATGAGTTTAAGGGGCAAGTGAATTTCTGGTATTGCCATTTTTCTTCGTTCAAAATCTGTTTCTTTGTCAGGTGACTGTCCCCATGAAAAGTAGAAGTTGTTTGTTAAATATTTTTTATAAACAGCTTAATATAAATCAGATTTAGTGTTTGGTTTTTTTCCTTGTATAAGTTTGATTTTCAAATGTTGGAAATGTGCTTTATAGTGTTTACTAAAGTGACAAAATATACCATTTGACACAGTATAGATTCCAAAACATAACATTGCACCAAATAGAAATGTATATTTTATTATGCAATGCCTTAGTCATAAACTGGGCTCAAACAATTCTCAGCCTAAAACACTGTTGTCTTTTAAAATGCTTCCAACCCAAAGGCCTTTCATCTCAATATCTGTCAGACTTGAATAATGTCTTCTCTTTAATATTACACATAAGGCAGCCTATTAACCTGTGTCTTAGAAATGTTGTATATAGTTCTTTTAATATTCATAGGGTATATTTTTGAATTTTGGTGAGTATTTGTTGACCTTAAGGTTGCAAACAAGAATAGATGTTTAAGAAATAGTAGGAAATCCAGTGAAATGGCTGTTTCCACCCAGAATTCTTAGCACTGGTGTAAATATCATGGTGCCTACTCGAAAGAAATATAGATGCTATGCATTTTGAAAATACTCTGCATCTGTTAAAACTGCAGAAGTTTTTTAATGCCACTTTAACACTAATGCACTGACAGATTCTAAATATTTTGTGAGAAGAAATGTTAATACTTTTTAGCTTGACTTGACAGGTTTCTATAGAGTGACTTGTTTTTCTTGCACCATTGGTTATGTGTATCACGTACATTTGCATGCTCAGATTGTCATGGCTGGAATTATTGTAAAAGAACGAGATGATGGTGACTTCTAGTTTGTGTCTAGAGGATGCTGCTAGGAAATGGTTTTGCTTTGCAGCTGATCTTAGGGTTATATGTCTGCTCTTGTTTCTTTTGACTCTGCAGTATTCACTAGAGTTTCTCTGCATGTTGCACTCTTATTTGGAGATTGGACTCTTGATTAACACAGTATTTATGTATCTGTGTTACTTTGTAAAAATAACTGTAACTTGTGTTTATTTGTACATACCAATGTGAAAATCTGTTCTTTATGTTGAGATTACCTTCTGATCAGGAAGTTTTAGTGCTATGCAAATAATGTAGTGATTTTGCTTTGCATGCCATGTGTAATATATGTAGCCAAAAACGTGTGGTGGCTTTTTTTTTTTTTAAGCCGATTACTTTAAAACAAATACACAATTCACTTGAATTTGACAAGCTGAAGCAGATGAGTTTCCTGATAACCTGTAGAAATGTTTAGATGTCAGCTAGGCTCAGTGAATCCCCACTGTACTGTAATAATGGTTATTTACCTCTGTGCTGTTTTAATTACCTAAAGTCTGTGTATCTGCTGATTTGAGTAGTGATTAGCATTTAGATATTTTATAACATAGGATTTTAGAGAGCACTTTGAAAGATAACATTTTATTATGATGGTGCTAGCTAGGAAAAATGTTATAAAGATTGGGATGGTTATCTGGAAAAGGAAATTCTTGGGAGAAGGTGTTGGAATTTCTCGTCACCTTAGGTAGAACAGTTGTTGATGGTACTGTTTATGCCAGGTTTTTCTTCATGTCAGTGGCTGAATTACTGAATGAGATGTTAAGTGGGTCCTTTATTTTCATCCTATGCTTTTTCTTTTCAATGTAGGATTAGCTTACCTTATAATTTTATTATGAAAATCACATTTTGAAATAAATACCAGATTTATAAAAGTTCAACGTAAGTTTGATCTCAGGAGTACAAAAGAAATTGTGGTTTCCAGTGTTCTTCATTTTATTAACTGGGGTTTGATCTGTTTCTAGCAGTGTTTGAATTTGGATAGGAAAGGATAACGTTCTTCACTGTCATTTTGTCTTACCTCAATAAAGCAACACAATACTCTTTATTATAGCTCCTGAGGGAAACTGATTTGCTTCCTCTTTCCCGTCTCACCTCCAGAACATGATGGAAACAGTGCTGAAAGAGAAATTTAGCAGATGGTGGTACTTTACTTTGTGACCTCTGGAATAAAAGAACTCTGATAGTTTGGAAATTATTAGTTTTTGTGTGAAGGTCAGGTTTTTTTTTCCCCTTTAGCTTTGTTTTTAACTGTCCAGGGGATTTTGCCTTATGCTGAGGTCAAAACTATGGCCAAGCAAGCTTTTGTCCTCTTTAGTATTGTCATTTTGTATGTTGTTGTGAGATGCATTTCTGTATAAGAAAAGCAGAACTGAGAATCATTTGTATTTTGATTTAGAAATTATGAAACTTCACTAGTATGATCAGACACATTTTCAAGAACAAATGCTTAGATTGACCAAAGCTCACCTGTTTAGTTAGGTGCTTGAGTCCGGCCCCCATTTCTTTTAGTATTGTGTATATATGTTCTTCAAGTTTGTTTTCTGTCAAATACATCTTCAGTTCTTGCCACATGTGCTCCTTGATAGGATGCTAACACCTGTGTCATCCTCATGTTTCTCAGTAACCCGCAAGGCCATTTTCACAGCAGACCTAAGCTCAGACCCTGTCTTCATCTGAGAGGAGGTTTTCCCAAACCACAGTGCTGAGATGCTTATTTGATGCAACTCTTATTCTTTAATGTGTTGTTTTGTGACTCAAGGGTGAACTAAAACGCCTGTGAACTGCAAACTTGCTTATGATTGATGTGGTGCAATAAAGTTCCTTTCTAACCATTTTCTGGTTTAGAAAATACTCAGCCATCCTATAAACTAGCAATATTTATTTTTGCTCATTTATTTTACCTTCAGTTTTAGGTAAACTTTTTGTGTTTTCACGTATGGGTACTACTAAGCAAAGTCCATTCTTGTGTAGCTGAAGAGAATGCAAATTTGGCTACACTATTTCTGTTTACTGTATTTTGCTTCCTATTTTGTCTAAATGCTATTGTTTTTGTTTTAAAATCTTAAAAATGATTCACTTCCAGTATGTTAACATCAAAGAACTGAGGCTTTGCTACCAGTGTCAGCCATTTACTCTCCCACTAATAGGGATTTTTTTATAGAGATTTTTCCCCCCAAGATACAAGTTTTAGAAAAATCTTATAAGAGGGGTGGGTGCATGTCTTAATGCTGGGAAGCAGCAACTTTGGGGTTGAATTTACTTGAATGGATTAAAAATTGCATTGTTACAGAGCTAGAAAAATTTATGTATGAAAAATGATAATAGCCTTACACTGAGTACAGATAATACTTAAGCATGTGAAGATGTGATCATTTGTGATGTTACTTGTAAAAAAAAAGTATATATACATATCTTTTGAAGTGTTGAGAGGAAAATAGTACTTTATATTCTTTATCATATCACTTTTTTAAGTGTTGAATATATTCCTGTTTATTTTTCTATGTTCTGTTTTGTAGCCTTAAGAAGTGTTTCAAACATCTGAATGTATAAAATAAGAGTAAATGCCCTACATGGTGTGATGCTGCATTATATATAAAACCGTGTGCATACATTAAATTTTGTCTCTTGATTCTCTTTGTAGTTCTTTGGTTCTGGAGTAACCTAGTAATAAACACATTTCCAGAGGTGTCTTATTAGGAGAGTTTCCATAGCATTTTCCAGACCAAAAGATAATTCTAATATGTACAACTAAAAAATCATAGGATTTATAGCCTGTAGGGTATTTTCTAGTTTTATGGCCAGAGCTATTGTTTTTCAATAAATCAAATGAGAATGTGGGAGGGTATGTTCTTGCAGTTTATGTACTTTCTAAAGATGAAACAAGTCTAAAGTGTTTGAAGCAAGCCTATCAGATATATATTAAATACCTGAAAATCAAGCCAACTTTTTTGTGTGTGTGGTACTAGTGAGCCCAGAGCCTCACACATGCTTTCCTAATTCCTAGTCCCCAACCATTTATTATCTTACTGTGTTTCATGGAGGGGTTTTGTAGACAAGGTCTTGTATATTCCAGGCTGGCCTTGAACATAAGATCCTTTTGCTTCCACCTTCTGAATGGTGGGATTATAGGAGTCCTTCATGTGCCCAGATGTGAAGTCTCATTTCTTAATTAAATCAAGGCACCTAATAATATTGCCAGTCCTTGTTTAACATACAACATGAACTTTCTCAAGGAAAGCTGGCCTCATGAAAACTTACAGCTCAAAACAAAGCTTACTTAGTACAGGAATGGATAATAAACCAGTGTAAAGATCAAAGCTGGGAGTTTTTGAAACAGGATTTGGATGAAAAGCCTGTGAGAAAGGAAAACATCTTTTAGCTGAGTGCTATGTGTTTACACATGGTAGGCACTGAAACCAGCTGTGGGGCAAGGTGTATAGCTCCTTGGATCTTTGGAGAATTAGGTGCTCCAAAAATGGATGAGATAAAATGCGAGATACTGAAAGTAGTCCTCAGAATGTGTCCAGTAGGTGGTGTCTGAAATCCTAACTAGAAGGACTACCTTTCACTTAATGGTTTTTAAGCTTTCATTGAAAAGACATGTAAAAACTGAAAAACAGGAAGTAAACAACTATCCACAGACGGCTTGAGTTCATAAGCACTTCTGAAAGTGTCATGGTTTTAGTAGTGTTCAAGGGTTAACTACAGGCATTGTCTGACATTGGAAGAGCTTTTTAGATAGCTGCTAGGAGTTTTTGGAAAAAAGGGCTTCAGTACACCACTGTAAATATGTATTAGTCCTCTGATTATGCCTTTCATATTTAGGAAAAAAACACTGAAGATGGACATGCCAGAGTACAGTTCTTACAGTTTCCTAACCCTTTGAATGTTCTATTTAAATGGAGTGGTAGACAACTTGATTTCAGTAACTTTTTTTTAAACACAAGACCTTGGCTTTGGACCAACTACCATCAGATGAAGTAGAAAACTAGTACTAATTGTTGCATCTAAATTAGAAGCTGAAAAAAAAAAAATCTCTAACCTAACAGGTATTTAGAGACCAGAAGTTCCAACATGGCTTCTCCACTAGAAGAAATGGACATAGTTTCATGCCCCAAGAACTGTATAGGCAGGGGAGATGTAGAAGTAGGCACGTTCAAGGTTCGGAGTTAAAACCCAACACGTGAGGCTCGCTCCTTTGCAAAGCTAAATGAACAGTGAAAACGTCTACAGACAAGCCTTTTCTGATGAAGGATCAAGATGATTTCTAATGCTGTGGTGCTGGGGATGAACCCTGGGCTTTGCACATGCTTGGCAAGTGCTCTTACCATTGAGCTAGAACCTCAGCCCAAGCTGCAGGTTCTGAAGGGAAAAAGAAAACCCAGAACTTTCTATTCTCTAGGTTTGCAAACTTAAGAAAAATATTCCCAAGCTGGTAGTACATTTGAATTACCTGGCAGAAGGAAAATGAAAAGCCCTTGGACTGACCTCGCCAGGGAGTCAAAAGTACTTGATGGAAAGCCATGGAAAACTTTCTTTACAAGTGTGACGTGCTGGCAGCTGTGTGGTTTGGTGGCAACACTAGCATGCTTGTTGTTTTCTTAGCACTCTCCTATACATGGAACTGCAACACAAAATTCTTGCCTGGTAAGTGCACAAGAAGCAGTACTAGATAGGTATCTGTTAGTGAGTTTTCCACAAATAACCTCAAAACTTCTGCTTCTAATGTACTGGCCAGACTTGGGTTAGATGGTCTCTCAACTGCAAGAGATTAGGAAATTGGAAGAGAACTGTCAGGGCTGTTCAGGGCTGTTTCAGACCAGTTAAGACTAATGACCTGGATATACATGGTCTACCTAAGGAAGTGATAAGTACATGGTTGGGAATAAACATGATTATTTACCACAATTTTACAGTTTTCAGGTGGTAGCCTCACCAGTTGACAAACCAGTAAAACAATTCAAGAGCAATAGTTGGGAGACAGACACACAGCGAATTGTGTTTGACAAGAACGAACACTTTCAAGATGAAAAACCTAGGGAATAAAATAAGCTTCTGAAAAATTACTAATTCTAAGCTGCTTGACTGGCTTTGGTTTGCCTCAATTTCTACCTCTAAAGTCCATAAAAACCAAAATACTGAAATCAGTAAAGCTCCCCAATCTGTCCATATTCATCTTTCCACTTACATCTTAAAATCTATGCTTATTTCTGCTAACTTGACATGTATTCAGCTTTATATGGGTTAATATCATGTATCTATCTAATTCAGGTGCTATTTTTTCCTGGGACTTAACTCATGAACCCTTGTGACTCCAGCTTAGAATACTTACTTTCTCTCTTGAAAGCATGCTGCAAATATGCCAATCAATCTAAATCTGTGAATACCAATTAAATTATATAGCCATACAGTTGGCACAATATTCATATTTTCTGGGTATCACGTAGGGTCACTAGAGCAGGCCCTACTCTAAGCCAGATGCAGTGTTACACACTGATAAGGGGACTGTTATTTCAAGGTATTTATGGCCTAAAATTAGGTTAAACTGAAACAGTTGTAGCATCAATACATCACTTTTGTTAAAGACTGCTCAGTATTACATAAATAAGGATTATCTGTGATAAAGATTTTGAACAGTCCATACATGCAAAACGTAAACTTCAAAAGATACATATTCTTCCCTCTTTAGCCAAGTTCTCTGAAAGCCTCGTTTCATGATCATCCCACCTTTGTGTATTTTAATATTTTGTGTATTCTCACAATCAGGCACTGTATGACACAAACTGCTTGACCTTGCCTTTTTTTTTTTTTTTTTCCTTTCCGCAGAACTGGGGACTGAACTCAGGCCCTTGTGCTTGCCAGGGAAGCGCTTACTCTACTGAGCCATGTCCCCGGCCCCTTGACCTTGCTTTTTAAAAGTGTCTGAGACTTTTTTCAATGAGGATCTATTAAACAATTTCACTGCTACTAATAGGCAACATCTTCATTGAAGGTATACTTAATTGGCAATGGTGATACTAGTTTATAGACAGACTTGTGTTAGCAACCTGTAGGCCTCTACTGCTCTGTAAAATTTCAACATTTTAATCCATATTTTTACATTTAATCTGCATAAAAATATACACATTCTGTCAGCAGGAAGTAAAAATGTGCTTTTATTATGTCGTATTATATTAAACGACAGAATAGGGAATAAAAATAGTGTCTTGTTTTATTAAACATTGAAATTATCACATTTAAGCTAGCCTTAAAAATAAACTACTTTAGTGTAATCCCATTTATGTACAAAACTCTTTACATATTCACACTCAGGTTAAATGCATAGAAAAAAAGCATGAAAGAATAAACTCAAACACTGATAACCCCTGGAAGGGTAATAAAGGGAGATCTTTTTTATTCCATATTTTATATATTTAAATTATTCACAACAGAAATGTACTTATAGATTCCACACAAAAATTTATTTTTAGAAGGCCTAATGGGGTCCACTTAAACCAAACCTTCTATCCACTGTTTGCAATTAATCAAGGCTTCTATCATTTCAATGACCTCTAAAAGTACTGACAAATATTTTCAATTTTCCTGCTTTACATGTGCCGATAGTTTATAGTAAACCCACTTTTGCACTTAATTCCAGTTCAGTGCAATAATAAGGTTTACATAATGTCTTTTATAGCCAAACATAGAAATGAATATATTTGGTACCAAGGGACACTTGTATTGCTATCTCTTGCATTTTAGTTGCCACTGAGGAAGTAGTTTACAATCATTGGCTGCCCACAGAAAATTCTACTTTTAAAAATACATAGATTCTGAGGCACCAAATCTGAAGATTTTGAGCCTGTAATTATAAGGGAAGTAAACATTCTCTAGAAATGCTGTCTTAAATCTTGATCAGTGATTATATAAATGTATGTTTAAAAAATGACATTCCTTTAAGAACAATTACAGAATATACTCTTACAGAATGCAAAAACTGAAAATCCAGAGTATTTCTTTTCCTTGAGGGGCATTGAAATGATTTTTATGAAGTTCAAAAGCACCAAAAACATTAAAAACAATGTGTAAGCTGGTAATAAACACCCATTTTCCAACAATTGGTGTTTTAGGGTAGACAATTATCCTTGGAAACAATACACTGAAAATTTCAGTGCAAAGACTGAAAACAAGTATCTGATGTTTATCAAATCTTACCAGTGTAGTCTGTGACTACCAATAGCTTTTAAAATAGGGCAGTTTCATTACACTGGCATACTTGGCAAATCAGGTACGTATAGGAAGCTTTCTCAAGGTTTTAAAAATGGGGCAACACTGGTCAGCATTTGATACATGAATATAGTACACCTACTGAAAATCTTCCCATATGTCATGAAAACTTGGAGGTAATTTGTGTAGTATGAAATGTCATTTTAGAATGTTACGCACAGAAGGGACTTTTTTAAGAACAGAAAAGTGCAATTTTCTGTGTTCAAACTAAAATTTTACAACACAGCTGGCTTTTAATGTTACTTTAAATAATCCATCCTTCAAGCTCCAGAGTATATGGGGCCATAAAACCTGATTAGAGTTTTGTATGACAGAAATCCCAGTAAATGTTTCTTTTAATAAAATGGCTTATCAGTAATTCTCAGAATCAGTCTAATCATCCAAGAAAAAGTAGTTACCACTCTTCTTTTGTTCCACATCCTAAAAATCAAAACAAAAAACCAAAAATTAGCAACATTATTGTACACGTAGAAGCAGAATTTCATTCATGGTATTAGCAATGTTTGAAATAGTGCTTGTACAACCTCCTATTTACCTACTATTCATTTGCTTCCGGATATTCCTGGGTCAGTTCTCTCTGTATTTTAGTATAGGTCTACAAGGTCTACAGGGTTTCACTACACAGATCAGACTCATAGTAATCTGCCTCTGTTCAGCCTTCCAAGAACTGGGTTTATAGGTGTGCGCCACCACGCCCAGTCTCAGTCACCTCAGCATGCCCTGGGTGTGGGCTGGCATGACCGTCCAGGAATTGAACCCCACCCCACCTGCTGCAACTGCCTTAGCAGGTGCTCCTGGGTCTAGTTTTCAAAAAAAAAGTATTATTACCCTTTGTCACCCCTAGAACAAAGTTGCTTTATAAAAGATCCTTTCCACACAAAATTTGCCATTGATAGAAACAATATTTTTGGGAAAACAAATGTCATTTTTCATCATGTGAAGTTTAAGGTCTTGAGACCAAAAGATAAGTAGTTTTTTCCACAATTGTTTATAGAGTGGCCAGTAACAATCCATTATTGACCTGTGTGGCTGCTTATTAGGATTAAGTTATGAATAAGGTGAGAATAAAGTCCTGAATTTATGAATCAGCTCTGTTGCAGGTGAACATTTATTAAGTCAGAATCATTTGTGAGTCTCATACAGTGAGTCTCACACACCTTTGACACAAATATACAATGTGTATTGCTTTGCTCTTCATAGCTGTCCACTGCATGTCACCCCTGCTTTTCCTCTTGCTTCCAGACACCCTGGGCTCTGACTGAGCACTGTACTACTGCACTGTACAGTGTGCACAAAGGAGCTTTTATGAAAATAACTGCCAAGTCAGTTGGGCACTTGCTGCACAGAAATGAATAGGTGTACCAGGAGCCAATCTGCAAGTCCATACCACACAGACTATATGAGCATTCATTATACTTCAGAAGATACTTCTGTCCTCTTTCCTAATAAAATAACTTTCACAAGTGAGCAAATATTTTCCTTTTATGGCAGGACTTACATTTTTACCCTGGCTTAGAAGTAATGTCAGTCATTCATACTAGGTGCTTAAAACTACTTTGTGAGAGCAAACACTACTGGGGCCTATGCATGTTTCTAATCTTTTTTCTCCATTGTTTAGAATTTTATGGTGATTGATAGAGCTTGTTTTAGAACTTTAAAATATGCATTTTAGAGCTGGTGTGGTGGTGTACGCTTGTACTCCTAGCACTCAGGAAGCTGAGGCAGAAGGACTGCCATGAGTTTGAGGTCAGCTTAAGGTACATAGTGAGTCTATGGCCAGCCTGAACTATATAGCAAGACTTTGTGTCAAAAACAAAACCAAGGGGGCTGGGGAGATAGCTCAGTAGATAAGTGCTTGCCTGGCAAGCGCAAGGGCCTGAGTCCAATCCCCAGTTCTGCCAAAAAACCCAAAATGAAACAAAGAAAAACCAAAAAAAACCCTCCAAAACCAAAAAAGCCCCCCCAAAAGATTAAGATAAAAGAGTGGATGCTGAGTATATACATGTAACTACTCCCCAAAATGGCAGGAAACTGCACAAGCTGCAAGCATGTACTAATAAAATAAAAAGCTTTTTTAAAAAGCATGCATTGGAGCTTGGGAAATAGTTCAGGAGCACATGCCTGCCTGGCAAGCACAAGCTCCTGAGTTCAATTTCTGGTACCAAAAATTAGTCAATCATGCACTGAAAAACAAGAGAATTTAGTTAAAATATTCTTTTTTTTTTTTTTTTGGTACATCACTGTAATTCTTCAATTCAAATGGCAATTAATGTAGGTAGTGCACGAGCACAGCATAAAAGAACTGTCTGCATCCAAGCAGCAACA